GGGGTAATTAAGTATTAATAAATTGATAGAAAAATAATAGGGTGAATAATTCATCTAGAAAAGTTAAGGTTGTAAGAAAAACAATAGTACTAGTTAGAAAAATAATTTGGTAAGGGCAAGTGATGAGAGATTTATTATTAAAAATGAATTAATAATTTGTCAAAAATGAAAGTATAACACTATTAAAAAACACAATTAAAAAAAATGATTAACAAGTGTAACACCTAAAACACAAAGAGAGTATGTAGGCTTTAGCATTTTAGCTCAAAATAATATAAACCTTCAAAATTCACTAGCACCCCAAATTTTGAACTCATTCTTTTTAACACTCCTTGTTACTCGTATAGTCGTGTTTAGTATCTAGCCCTTGTTTCATTCACCTTAAATAATAATATTAAGTTAAAAGCATTCAAGTTTAGAAAAAAAAAATTAATTTAGTAAAAATAATTTCGGCAAAATTAATTTCAATTTAGTAACAATAATTTTTAACAGTAAATGTAAAGAACAAATATGAGAATTAGCAACAAAAAAAAATCAATAAATATAATTTCAATTCAAATTAAATAATTAAAGTTTAGCAAAAACAAGGTCTAATTCTTAAAAAAAAAAAAAAAAGTTCTAATCAGTAAAAATAATTTCTGTTTAGTAAAATAAAATGAAGAGAATATGACCTTAATTTGCTATATCGATAAGAGTCAAACCAATTTGTCCAAGGAGAACATGGATAGCTAAAGACTAAAAAGTGAGTACTGTGTACACAATCCAAAGAAACAATTTGCTCTTTAGTTCTTTAGTCTTAATTCCATGGTTATCAATTTATCATTCTTATCAACCAAGAATGGACCTCAAAAAGTGTCACGGTATGTTACAAGTTTACCACTTTACAAGAAGTCAACAACAACCATCACGTAGAGTCGTATACAGTACTTTGGTACAGTAAAAAAATTAAAAATCTTGTTCATAATACAGTATGTAATTTTAAAATCAGAAGTTTTTAAACAAAAAAAAATAAAAATAAAAATTAATTAAAAATCTAAAGAACCTACTCTATCAGTCTATTGTATAGTCCTACTGAAATCTCGTAGAGTATAGGAATGAATAGAAAAGCACCAATTCCTAAGAAAAGGAGGCAAGAAAAACAGAGAAATCAAAGATAAGACAACAATAAATCAAAATACCAATACCAATGACTTATTTTACCTTTCCCACTAAAGAAAGAATACAAAATCTTAATTGTAGCATTTTCAAATTTCAAATTAAGATAAATTGCAAAACAATAATCGTCCAAGATCAATAAGCTGGTCTGAACTCCCACTAGAACTCCTCAGATCAATTGCCAAATCCTTCAAAAACAACCCAAATGATCTCCGCAACTTCCGAGCTGTTTGCAAGAAATGGCGACGCTCTACCTCTATTTCCGTTCTTTTACCCTATTGTGACTACTCTACCCTCTCTTACAATCTTTTTACTTCCTCTGTCTTACTCCTTGGCCCTCCCTCGGGTTCAGGTTCCAGTTCCGGTTCCCATTTTGACACTCCGTGGATGGTCAGTGTCGTCGAGATCACCAAAGGAAACATCCAACTCTGTCACCCTTTCTCTCAAACTCCTCATTCGAAACTCCTTAAGAACTTCGATGTAACTCAATTTCACCCCTCGGTTCTCACCGAGTCTTACCACATTGCATCTTCTAGTGACATTAGCCTTTCCTCGGCTCTTGCGGGTGTCGATAAAGTGGTGGTTTTCTCAACACGGCCTATCCCTCGCATCAATGACTGCTTACTGTTAGTCCTGCATAATGGGAGATTGGGCGGGTACCCGTCTTTCGAGGCTGAGGATGATATGCCGGAATGGGTTGACGTGTCGTATCGAGGAGTGGATGATTTTGATGACATTGTAACCTTTAAGGGAGTAATTTATGCTGTTGATTGGGAAGGGAAACTATATCAGTTATTCAACCATAAAATTGCTGTTCAGAAAACTCTGGTGTCTGCAGCAGTTTCAGATGCTGGTGCTTACAAAGGATGGCGAAAGCGATTAGTAGGATCAGATCAGAAACTGCACTTGTTTGTGAGGTATCAGAAAGATATGCTAAAAGTATTTAAGCTGTCTAAACATGGTAAAATTTGGAATTGGGTTATGGTCCAAAGTTTCGAGGAAAAAGATCAAGTGTTGTTTATGTCAACTGTCTACGGTTTCTTTGTTCCTGCTAGATATATCCCTGATTGTCAGCTTCGCAACTGCGTTGTCTTTTCGGATAATGCCTTTCCGATTTATTCGTTCCGTGGTTGGGTGTCTGCTGCGGATGTCAAAGTTGAAGAAGAGATTATGGTTTTTCAGCTAGGAACGCGTGATGATCAGAATACTTTTCGACCAATTTCAAGCTACCCGAATTTTCCTGTCAAACTCTGGTCACCTCCTTCTTGGGTGTTGCAGCCTCAAACATCATCTCCCTTGCAACTGCATTCTGATCAGAGGTAAAATTATAATTGTTGAAGAAGTTATTACTGTAATTTATGTCTCTAGTACTTGGGATTGCTGGGATATAGCATTAAACCCCTGAAATTTGAAATTGCTACTTTCTTATTGATTGATAATTTAGTTATACAAGACTATACAAGTATATAGTTATGTACCACTGATAACATATGAATTCTACAAGACTATTCTACAACTGAAATGAGAGCCTGAACTTCAACTAGAAATCAGAATAACTGGTAATTGAGGGAAATTGGAGGTTTGGATCATTTTCGATGCCTAATATTGAGCAGGAATCTTTAGTTGAGTCTGAATTCTAGTGTGGATGTAGCTTTACACGTACTGATTTACATTTTTTCGGTCTCATCTTGAGCTATATTACATTGAATCAATCAATTAAGATGATGCTTACAAGAAGGATGAAATACAACTTATTTTGTGGACGGTATACATTATGAGACAATATTCTAATCATATTGAAGTGCAACACTGATTCACACAATAAAGATGAGTAATTAAGAATATGTATGGTGTGACACTAGAAATTTCAGGCCAAATGACACTACCATAAGAAGATTTTAAAATAAGCTAAGTGTAATCAGTAGAGACTTATCTTCAATCATTTTATGAAGGCATTCTGAGGTAGAAGAGATGCAACTAGATCGAGAACAAGCTGCAGCCATTCCTCCTCCTAATTCTGCAGGTACTCGAGATCAAATTTTGTTATGTCAATTGTACTGCATTTTTTTTAATTATGCCAACATTCCTTCCTCCTATCTTGATTTTCTTTAAGGTTTTGCACTTAATGATGGGGATAATCTCATGCTGTGTAGCTTTAGAAACAGAGAACACAGTGGATCCTATAGTTCAGAGTCTTCAGACAGAATCATTTGTTCCTCGTGTGATTCAGGTAATATCAACAATTGATCGAACTATGGCATTTCACAGGGACGTTATGAAACTTGTACATGACAACAATGTTAACATGATCTACTTGTTTTGCAGCCTGTTGTGAACCAGGTTTCAACACCGAAGTTTCAAGGCATAGATGTCCATCCTAAACTCCCTATTTTGCAAAAGATTTCAAGCTTAACGAACTTTCCTGTCAAACTCCAGTCACCTCCTTCAAGTGTGTTGCAACCTCAAACATCATCTCCCTTGCAACCGCATTCTGATCAAAGGTAAAGTTGTAATCGTTTAAGCAGTCAATTAATTACTGTAATTTATAAAAACCTGAATTTTGTAATTGATACCTTCTTATCGGTAACCAAATAGAGAATATACCACGGATAGCATATCAATTTAGTTATATAGTTTCCTTACTGATTACAGATTAGGGGAAGGGTGGGAAAAATTTAGCTCAACTAATTGAATCTTTGGTTCCTTTTCACAAAACAAGCCAAAGAATTGTATCCCTTCACTACTAAATCATAGCATGGCTTTTGGTGTATGTTTGAACAGCTAAGGACGTGAGAACTTTAGCCTTAAGGAATTAGGAGGATCCTGCAATCTACAGTATTATACTTTGTACTCCGTATTTAGCTTGCTCTTTGCTTTCAAATTGTTGTACCAAGTACATTTCTAACACCACTTTGAATCATGCCATCCTGGTAATTTTAATATAGTATGTTAGTATCCTACCACTTAAATAAACATTTAAGCCTGAAGATTATCTAGGAATCAGAAAGGCTAATACTGTTGGAGTCCAATCTTCAATTCACACAATAAAGAAGGGTATTCATGAAAATGTAAGGTGAAACACTAGAAATTTCAGGCCAAATGACACTACCATTAAGATTTTAAAATAAGTGTTGTCAGTTGAGACTTACCTTAAATTTTCTGAAGGCATTCTGTGGTTGAGGAGATGCGACTAGATCGAGAACAAGCTGCAGTCATTCCTCCTCCCAACTCTGCAGGTACATGAGATCACATTTGTTATGTCAATTGTACTGCATTTATAGTATTCATGCCAAGACTGCCAACATAAATCGCTCCTTATTTGATTAATTATGATGAAAATTATTTCTGTGGGGTTTTGCTCATGTTGGGTATAATCTCTTGTTGTAGCCTTGGAAGCAGAGAAAACAGTGGATCCTGCAGTTCAGAAGGATTCAGTTATTCCTCGTGTGATTCAGGTAGTTTCAACAATTGTACCATGGAATTTCACAGGGAGATCATGAAACGTTTACCTGACAGCAGTGTTTAAATGCTATAATTGTTTGCAGCCTGTTGTGATTGAGACTTCCAACACCAAAGTTTCAAGGTGTAGATGTCCATCCTGAACACCTCCCTATTTTGCAAAAGATTTGGAAGAAGCATGGAGATGTTCTTAAAGAAAGTAAAATTTGTAGTTGCGATTTTATAGCAACAACATTGGCCTCTTTGGCAAAATTGATACTAATTCTTCAAACAAACTCTGGAAAGACATTGACCGATAATCAAGCTCGTTACTTGACTTCAGCACTGTCCGATCTGCAATCAGTGTGTGTTAAAGTGGATTGGTTGGTTCCCTTTGTAGAGAAGGCTTTGGCATTGCACAAAAGGAAGCCATTAGATGCTGCTTTGGTGGAGCTTGAAAAGGCCAAAGCTAAAGTTGAAGAGATGAACCGAAAGTTCCTCTTAGAGATGGCGAAAATGAAGCAAGGATTCAGTACAAATAAGAAGCAGATTGTTTCTAAGAGCATTTCAGCATGCGTACCAATAGATCAAGATAAATGCCTTGCGGAGGGATTGTTCTGATTTCTTTGTGAATTGGAAAATCAAATTTTCTTAAGTTCCAGAATGTTGTGAGGCAGTTGTCTTTCTTTTTTTTTTTTTTAATCTTTCCTTCCTTTCTGAAGCACTCCGTATCAAAATCCTATTTTTATGTTACTAGCTATTGTGAGGTATGAGGTAATAGGTACATAGCTGATTACAAGTATCAGGATGCATAGCTTCCACCCTCGAACCGTAGCTCAAGAGTAACCTTCAATAGTTTTATGCAAAACTTCCTGGCAGAGGGAAAACATTCTGTAGTAATAGCCACAACTTAGATCTCAAGAGAGTTAGAAAACAAACTTGAGCTTCAAAAGTATGTAGGCATTAGCTGTTTACAATACTTATTTGCTTTTGAACGTAGAATTTATGCTCTACTTCTTTTTGTAAAACAATAGACCTTCAAGATTCAGAACATTTCAAATATTACATGGAAAGCTAAAGATTGTTCATTACAACCATTGTTCAATCATAGTAGACAGCAAGGTAAACCAAAATACAACCACAGTTTTGAAAAAGGCTACGTAGGCACATTAGCGCGACCACCAGATATCATTCACTCTCATCAAAGCATAGCTGCTTTTTTTTGACAAGAGCTCTCCAAGGAAAAACCAACTAAAAAAAGAACCACATTTATGCGTAAATGGAGTTCTTTAAAAAAAAGGCTTAACGCTACGCCAATACCAATACATGAGACAATAAGAGCCTTTCAGTCTCGGACCTACCATACCTTCCATCCTACAGGAAAAAAATAAATAAAAAAGCATCCACTGATATTTATAGTAACATCCTCCAAAATGAATTATAATTCTTCTTAAATCAAAATAAACGATCCTTAAAAGTTAAAACCTTAAAGCATTCCGTCACCAATGCACTGGTCAAGATCTATTTGTCCCACAATGGGAATTTCCTTGGATATAAGCGTCTTATCCTCTTCTAGCTCTTTCTCGACTTCCTCCAAGTTAGCCAACTCCTTGGTGAATTTAATTTTCATTTCCTTGGTCCTAGCTATGTATTTCTCAAGATCTTCAAGAGCATCAACCATAGGTTTGCTTTGATGAAGCTTTATAGCTTTTTCAACAAAAGGCTCTAGCCATTCAACTCTCAATTGGAGTCGTTTTAGGTCCATCAAAACAGAACTTAAATCGCTGCATTGTTCCTTAGACAAGGTCCTGCCAGAGCTGCTCTGAAGTATTATCACAGCCTTGGCTAATGATTTCAGGACACACTTTAACATGTCCTTGCTTTGCACACCTTCAACTACATTTCCATGTTTTGCCCAGATCTTTTGCAATGTTGACACCAGATCGGACTTAATATCCACTCCTTCAAATGTCACTTTAGAAGCAACACTTTTATTACTCTGCTTCAAAATTTATCAAGAAAATGAAGAGCCATTAAGAAAAATGTTCATGCAGTGAAAGAGGGCAAGTATAACTGCTGAAATTACAAAATCTAACCAATACCTTAGCATTTTGCGGCTGTTTGTCAGCTTGCATGGACGGGGTTGCTGCTTTCTTCTGTTTCTTGTGAATATTCAAAGGCCAATAGTCATGTCCACCTTGCTGCAGATTGTTTGCAGCATCCCTTCAGAAACAACAGGGCATAAGTTCAATAGTAAAATCCTCCTTCCTACTTTTGCATTCAAGGAAACCATGCTTTAGATTTGGCTTTCATTTTACTAAATAAAAATACATCTTGAAAGTAACGTGATAAAGTCTGCAAAATATGAATTATAAGGAAAAAGGGACTTTGGAAACAGGCAGGGTGACAGATTTGACGCATCGTAGGAATATTGCTATCATACTAGAAAATTATGTACAATCACATAGAACAAAATTACAAGAATGAGTGTAATATAACACCTACTTCACCAGGCCATTGACCATGAGTCCATGACCATTCTTTCCATGCTATTATTCTTGAACTTTGTCAGTAAATATTACAGAAAATCAAAACAGACTGTTGAATTTCTGCCCATGATTTCAATCAATTATTTTTGCAACTACTCATTGACTCCTCTTAGATGTACGCAATAAAACAGAATGGAATACTAACGAATGGTTATACCTTTTGAAGCCATAGCACAACTTATGTAAATTTATATCTACAAGAGAACATATAGTACAACTTTAAGTAAATTTCTATTTATAAGAGAACATATAGTACATGAGTTGATTATAATAAGGAAATTTCTATTTACAAGAGAACATGTAGTACTAAGGGGCGTTTGTTTGAGGGTTTCAAGAATGTTAAGGGGTACAACACCATCGATTCCCTAATTTTTGTTTGATAGGTTATTACATTCTTTTTACCCTATGTTTTCCCCACTTTCCTCTACCATGATTCCCCCCCTCCAAGGGAATCATCCCATCCACTATTCTATATCCAACCACCAAAACAAATTAAAGTAGAGTCGTAGACTACCCCGACACACAGCTCAATCATACTAGACCCCACCACCAAACACTAGCCAACAACCGCTACCTCCTCCCCCCCCCCCAACACACCGCCCAACCAACACCACCTGACCAATAGCTACCCCACCTCACCGAAAATCAATTACATCCATCAAGAAAGAGGATGGGGAACAAAAAGAGATCTAGAGAGAGACAAACCATTCACATAAATAAGACTTGATGAATGAATTTAACCATGAAAATTCAAATTTTGGAGTATTTAAGGTCAACTTATAACCATAAAAGACTCAGTTATGCAAGGTGGTGGTGGAGAAAGCAGCATCTTGTGAATGGAACTATGGTGGTGGTGGTGAAGATCGGGGAGAAAGTGAAAGAAGACAGTGGTGAGGGTCAAGGTGGGTACACTGTCAGAAGAAGCTAGAGCTAGAATTGAGTGTGGGTACGGTATTAGAAAAGGCTAGAGTGAGGATTGAGTGGGTATGGTGGTTGAAGGAAAGAGAATGAAGAGTGGCTTTCATTTCCTTTTATTTGCTACCCCAACACACAAGGAATTTTGGGTTTGTCTATACCTTTCCTTATCATTCCTTTCCACTTCCCCTATCGAAAACAAACGGCCCCTATAAAAATTGAAAGTTCGATTTCTACTTGATAATTGCACAATATAATAAGTGCTACCCCTATCTCTACCCCTAAAGGAGCCCATTGCTCCTAAACCCACATTGCAGAAAAATCAAGGCAAATTCAATATATTTTCAAGATTTAGAATGACACAATGGCTTAACTGTTACACAAGGATATTAATAGGAGTCTCATTGGAGCAACAGATATTCTTGTCAAAATCTTCAGTGGTCAAGGGTCTAAAGAGCAATGACAGCATAATGTTTAAGACCCTTAAAAGTTGAGAAAAAAACTTTTAGAGCAATTGGCAACTACTGAAAGATAAACAAAATAGTGCAACTGTAAAATTCAAATTACCAGTTGGATGGAAATGTATATTGCCAGAACCATGTTGGAGGCGGCCACAATGCATTAGAAACAGTCTCATAAGACAAAGCAACACCAGTTCCTTCGGAGTACATAAGGATCCCAAGATCTCTGGCTGCTTCTCTAAATACTGACTCGTTAAACTGATATGCACCAAAAATTTCACGGTTGAAAATCACAATATTGCCATCACAATCAAAAAGGCTTTTAGTAGATACCATAAAGCTACCATCAAAACCCAAAAATACCATCCTATTTCCTAGAGTTTTCATCTCAACCCATCTGCGTTGCATCTGATTGAGCTTGTAAGTCTTTTTACATGAAACAACAATTAGATATACTTCATCAGATGAACCCACCAAACTAATCGCGTGAAAACCTGTAAGAATCGGATGATCAACAATGGTCTCGATCACTTTGAGAGTCAAATGATCAATAACATACAGTCTTCCTCCATCATCAACAGCATAAACCAACCCTCTCAGCCATAATACATCCTTAAACCGCCTAACTAAGCTTTGATGCACATACCTCCAGTTTCCATCTCTCAAATTTAAACCAATCAAAGTCCCATCAGTATAGAGCACTATAGCTGTGCAATTATCAGCAGCATTATAAGGACATGTTTCATCAGAGTTCAAACACAAAATAACTTTACACCCATCATAGCCATGCTCCGCATAATTTGATTTTGCCAAAACCCTTAAAAGATACCCTTTTCCAATTTCAGTTACACGAAATTCAGCTAAATTTAAAGATTTGGGGAAAGTGGGGTCCTTAAATGAGACGGGTTTTCTTGAAACAGGGTACAAATTTCGGAATTTGCCAGGTTTTCTTTCTTCTACAGATAGAATCATACATTTAGAATCTGAATTATTAGGATCAAAATCAAGAGGTTGAACAAGAAAAACAGTAGTTGCCACCAGCGTAAAGATGTGAAAACTTTTACTAAATGGGAGAGGGTTTGCCTTAGGAATTTGCAGTTGAAGTGGCAATAAAGGGTTTGAGAAATTAGGGTTTTGAGGAAGGGGTAAAGAAGAGCGCCATTTTATACATACCGATCGAAATTTGCAGACGTCAATTCGACTTTCGAGGCGCTTTCCTATAGCCAATAGAACTTCCGGTGAAAGTTCCGACCAATCTACTTCTCGCTTCCGGCACCGGCTTGTCTTTCCTCTTCCTCTTGTAGCTGAACTCTGAGCCATTCTCTCCGCGCCTTTTGACTTCCCCAACTTAAACAATTTAGCAGATGAGAAGCATAAACTTTAATTTTGACCAGAAATTACATTATGTAACCTGAGTTATTAAATCCGACTATTCCTAATGATAGAAGCATTGTGATATTTTTAGATGTATCACTTTATAGTCAATTTAGGTGATATTTTCAAATATATCACTTTATACCTAATTAGCCGCAACATTGGCTTTTTAAGAAAATTGATTTTTGGCACACCTATTATTGATACTAGCATAGTAGTATAGTGCCCGTGCAATGCACGATTTATAAATCAAACTATTAATTCCGTAGGAAAAAAAACAAAGATAATTCAATTAGTAATAAGTTGTGAAAAAGATATACTTGTACAAATATTTTTGAAATTAAATAACATGTAATAACTCATTCATAAATATATAAACTATGAAAAATATTTATCATATTGGAAATATAATCAATTATGTGGAATCAATCAAAGTCAATAAAATATATTTTAAAATCAATGTAATTTATATAATATATTGATTACACATGGAATAATATAGATATAAATAATAATTTATACAATAAAAGATATGAAAAATATGTGAATCGTAAATAAATATTATTTTAGGAAAGTGAATCACTATTATATGATGTAATGAATAAAGGATAGTTTAAAATAAGTAGTTGAGGGGAAAAAAAAATTTTGAGGGAAAAAATAGCACCAGGACATGACACGTGTCATTCCTGGTGTCTGTTTTAGTATTATATTATGTTATGATTGACACATGAGAAGAGCATAGAAAAGTATGTTCTCGTAATAGATGTGCCTAAATTACTTTTGGGTGGCCAAAATATTTCCCACTTCTTTGGCAAATTTGATACTAATTCTTCAAACAATCTCTGAAGATACCTTTACTTATAATCAAGCTAATTACTTGAATTCAACAATCACCACTGTCCGATAAATTTAAAGTTAACCAGAAAGGCAGAAATTACATATGGTGATATGGATAATTTTTAGATGCATCACTTTATATCCACAACACGCTTCATAAGAAAAATGATTTTGGGCTTTTTGGCACACTTATTAATGATATTGACACATGAGAAGAGCATAGAAAATCGTATTCTCATAATGGAAGTGCCTAAATCACGTTTGGGTGTGGCAAAATCATTTTCCTCTTATTTGACAAAATTGATACTAATTCTTCAAACAAACTCTGAAAAGACCTTTACTGATAATCAAGCTAATTACTTGACTTCAACAATCAACACTATCTGATAAATTTAAAGTAGGAATGGAGTCAAACCGTTGCAAGTTGCAACTAAATAAAAATAGAGGAAATATTTCGTCATATATTTCCACGTTAACACTACAAGAATCATCAAATTCCGACAGACACATAATTTTGTCGGGAAAACCGAAATTTCCGACATATTTATATTCCGTCGGATATTTCCGACGAATTCAAATAATCCATCGGAAATTTCCGACGGAATTTAAATCCGTCGAGAATTTCCGACGGAATTTAATCAAAAAAATAGAAAAAAATAAAAACCAAACCCTAAACCCTAAACCCTATTTTAACCTAAAACCCCCCCATCCTACTTTCACCCCGCCTCTTTTTTCTCTTTCTCTTTCTCTCTCCTCTTCTCAGCTTTCCTCCTCTCCTTCTCTAATTCGCTATTCTCCCTCCTCTTCTCCTACTCTCTTATCATGTCCTCTACTCCTTCTCCTCTTCTCGTTCTTTGCAAACACCTCTAATACCGTTGCCGCACGAGTTTAATGCCCTTTTATTTTTATTTTTAAGGGTTTTAAGTTCAAATTCGACCATGAAAATAACTACCATAGGAATTTAAGTCGTGTTTTTAAAACCGATATTATTGCACAATTTCGGCCTTATCTTATAAATAAAAATGATATTGACCTGATTTTTAATTGGGTTGAAAAGTAGACATCCATAGCTTTTTAACGGTATATTATTTGTCTTAATTTGAGTTCGGGATCAAAAGTTATGACTATAATTTTCAAAACTCCATGGGGAGAAACGCCTAGAATTTTAGTTTCTCCCTAGGAGTTTTGAAATTTCTAGGCGTTTTCTCCTGAGATATTTGAAAAAACTAGGCGTTTGGCCTCCAACCAACAAAAAAAAAAACACGACTTAAATTCTGGTGATAGATAACCTCGCCCTTGGTCGGTGGTAACCTAGTTGGTGGGTGGTTTATTTGTTGGAAGGAGAGAATGTTACATTGAGTTAGCGGGAAGAAAAACGTATAATACAGGCAAGGGTATGTTCGTCCATTCATGTTTAAACGCGGGCGTTACCTAGTAAAATGAGGGCGTCATTTAACAAACCCGCTTTTTTTTTTTGTTACATATACAAATATAAGAAGTAAAAAATCGTATATATAGTACTCCGTATACGAAGATTAAAAGGTTTTTTTTTATCAAAGTAATTTTTTCAAACATTAACAATTATTTAATGTTTACCATGGTCTTAATAAAGCAAGTATATCGTAAAAGATAATATGAGTAAGATTTTGTTTTTTAGAAAAATCTCACGTAAAAATAATTCAATTCAGTAAAAATAATTTATGTTTAGTAAATATGATTTCACTTTATCAAAAATAAGGAGAAGTGATTAGGGCCTACCTGTTCACTCACATTAAAAAAAAAATTCAATAAAAATAAAAGTTCAGTTAAGTAAAATAATTTAAGTTCAATAAAAATCATTAACTTCAAAGAAGAAATAACAGAGAATCAGCAAAAATAATTTCAGCTCAACAAAAATAATTGCAGTTCAGTAAAAATAATTTCAGCTCATCAAAAAATAGGCCATATTCCTAGTATTTATTTTACATTTTGAAAATTTGTAAAATAAATCGCAGTAAAAATTTCAATAATTTAAAATGCATGCTCTAAGTTAAAATACCGGGCATTGCACGGATATTACCTAATGTGGTAAGATTAAAAACAAAAACAAATTCCCTATATACATCGATTTTAAAATAAATTCCCAAATACCGTCCACGTAGGATCGGTGTGGTTTTTTTTTTTTTTTTATTCACCGCAAAATCGCTAATAACATCGGTTTTTGTTTTAAAGCTGCTATTTGTATTAGCAGTTTTAAAAAGAGACCGCCTTTAACCAGTAACATGTCTTTTTCAATTCCCTCCTTAAGTGCACTAAACACTTTATATGTGCAAAAGAGACCATATTTTTGAAATAACAGGTTTATATTCCTTTCCAAAGAAAAATATAAACAAAAACCGCCACATTGGGGTATGGGTGTCTTTTATAATAATGAGACCTACTATTCGTAAAAACTGGTCTCTTTGTATTTTTAATCTTTTTAAATAAAAACCGCTAATGTTGATGACATTAGCGATTCTAAGCTGAACCAAACATCGATCCTACTTGAACGGTACCTTGGTAATTTAATTTTAAGGACAATTTCAAATTTGCTACCACTAAAAGTCATGCACCTCAATTTTGCTACCTCTTAAATTTTTTTTTATTATACTACCACCTAAATCATTGTTGTCAAAATTCAATACCATTTGACTGAAGCTGTTAAGTTTGCCATTTGGTGGGCCCCACGTCAGTTCACTAACACCCCTTCAGTTCTTCTCTCTCCCCCCTCCCTTTCCTCCACCTTTGCAGCCCACCACCCTCAACTGCCCAGCCACCCTCCCCCCTCCCCCCTGCCGGCGACCGGCGCCCAACGCTTTGGCCGGCGATCTTTACCCACGCCCTGCTCCACCATTCACAGCCGTCAACAACCACCACAAAACCTGCGCAACAACAGCAACAATTCCCTTCCCGGCCACCACACCGCCCACCAACACCACCCATTCGAGGTAGCTGCCATCGATTTGCCGTAAAATCAGCCCAATTGAAATAGAAAAGCTCACAAATAACCACAACTCACGCAACCCCTGCTCCTTCACTATTTCACCACCACTTCGCACAACCACCATCCAACACCGATCCTCCCGCAAATCAACACGCAACCAACAGCTAGCCACCGCTAACCTCGCACCGACAGCAGGACCGGCCACCGACACCACCAATTTGAACAGAGCAGCCGCCCGCAATTAATGCTCCAATTGAGGCCCAAAATGTCGTTGGTGGGGGAAAGGGATTGTGGTGGGGTCGCCGGCGCCGACCAAATCGTTGGACGCCGGTCGCCGGCAAGGGGAAGGGTGGCTGGGTTGGCTGGCAGGTGAGGGTGGTGGGCTGCAAGGGTGGAGGAAAGGGAGGGGGGAGGGTGGCTGGGTTTTTTTTTAAAAAAAAAAACAATTTTTTTTTTTTGAATAAACTTAACAGAATCCTAACGGATTCCGTTAAGTGGTACTGAAATTAAAAACTGTGATTTTAGGTGATAGTATAATAAATTTTTTTTTAAAGAGGTAGCAAAATTGAGGTGCATGACTTTTAGTGGTAGCAAATTTGAAATTATCCTAATTTTAAACCAATGTATAGTGGGAATTAATTTTTGATTCAACTACATTGAGGGAAATCACTCGATTTTACCATCTTTTAGAAAATAGTTTTGTTGCACTTTTCTACTTGTTGTCACCTTGCCGGAATAGGTGGTGATGAATAAATTCTCGGTCATTGATTGAGCATATGTGAGACGTGATTTTATATAATTCTGAAAAATTAAGAAATTTTAAAACACTTTTTTTTTTTTAAATACCTAGTGAGAAACAATCTTATAAAATGTAGTTGTAAGTAACTAACTCTTGTCCTTTTTTTTTTGTTGTTCTTTTTTCGTTTTATCTGTTTTTCATAAGTGTGGTGTCTACTTATATGTTTTATAGTACAAACTTTTAATCTTTGACTAAGATTTTCACGAGCCCATGATTTTAATCTTGTAATTGAACGTGTTTTCCCCAAATCACAATTCCATTACTAAACCCTAGGCTATTAAAAGAAAAAATATATTTTTTTTTCTTTTTTTTTAAGAAGGAAAAATTAAATTTTCTCAAGAGAATTCAACTCATCAAAAAATAAAAAAATAAAAAAATAAAGTTAAAAATGTGATTATGAAGTTTAGAAACC